CCTCTTGTGGTTGATCGGGCTGTTCAGGAGTTTGGGTAGTTTCAAGCGAGACTTCCGATGGTAACTCGGTTGTGGTTTCGCTCTCTGGCACTGGAGCCTCTACCACTGGAGTGGGAGGCTCTTCCTCCGAAGCAAGTGACTGACGCTTCTTCTTCTTATTCTTTTTCTTCGACTTAGAAGAAGTGGCAGGCTGAGACTCTTCGACTTGATCTTGGGAGCCAGCCCCAGAAGCCTTCTCGTCAACGTTGTTGATGTCGTCAGTTTCTGCAGCGGACTCTGCTTCAACGGAGGTTTGCTCTTGTGGCTCTTCCGCAGGCTGCTCTGTAGCACCCTCATCATCGGCCTTTGACAAATCTTTCTCTGCAGTGGTCTCCTGGGATTTTGCGGGTGTAGCGTCGGTGGTACCTTCAGGTACGTCGCCGGATTTTGTTGGGTCTCCGGCAGGCTCTGGCGCATCAACTTCTCCTTTCTGCGTGGAATCGACGTCTGCCGAGGTGGTCGCCTCACTCGCTACAGCTGATGCCTCTTCAATCACTCCGTGTGGTCCGTTTTGCGCGCCACCGGTCTCCTTAGGCAGTTCATCGGCGGTAATGATAGTTGCATCCAGCTCGGCGTCCTTTGGTTGTTCGGGAGATCCATTGTCCAATGGCCCGGTTGAGACCTCGGCCTCCTTGGCCGGTTCTTCCGCAGAGATAGTAGTTGCATCTAGATCAGCGTCTTTAGGTTGCTCAGGAGACTCATTGCCTGCTGGCTCAGTTGAGACCTCGGCTTCCTTGGCTGGTTCTTCCACAGTAGCGGGTGTCGTATCCAGATCAGCGTCTTTAGGTTGTTCAGAAGATTCGTTGCCTGCTAGCTCCGTTGATATTTCAGCTTCTTTGACAGGTTCTTCCGCAACAATTGGAGTCGCATCTTCTAAATCAGCGCCTTTGGGTAGCCCAGGAGATTCATTATCGGCTGTCTTCGCCGCGGCTGCAGTCTCAGAGACATTCTCCTTTGTCTTCGGCTCCGAAACAGCAGGGCTGGAAATTGGCGTCTCATCAACCGACTCAGCAGATTGCTGCTGCTGCTTCTTATTCTTCTTCTTATTGTCTTTCTTGGCTTTCTTCTTCTGAGCAGCAGTCATTGGTGGCGCGGGCTCCGAAGCAGCGGGATCCTGTGGGGCTTCGGACGGATCTACTGGTGGTTCGTTCTCAGTAGACTCTTCCTGTTCGGGAGCCTGTTCCAAGCTGGTGGGTGGTTGTTCCGTAGCGGAATTATTGTCGGCTGGTGTCTCGCCTTCGAGCGACTTATGCTCCAGCTCTGTATCCGCGGCGACAGGGGACTCCTCAGAAGCAGCGGGTAGGTCAGCCGGTGGTTGACCGTCAATGGAAGCTTGGCTTGGCTCTAAAGTAGCAGCGGGGATTTCGCGAGCGGACTCCTCCTGTTCTGGATCCTGTGCTTGAGCGGGGAAAGAAGGTTGTTCGACAGAAGCAGGGACATCTGCACTTGCATCGACGGTGTCAGGGGCCAAGGCAGTCGAAGATTCATCTGGGGCAGACACGCTCTGCTGCTTCTTTTTCTTGTTCTTCTTGCCCTTCTTGCCTGTCGGTGTGGATACCCCCGCATCGGGTTCAGGCACGGATTCCACCGCTGGAGACTCCAACACATGTGGAGGGCCGTCATTGGCTTCGGGGCTCTCCACTAACGAGGTATCGAATTTGTTGTCCAGGGCGCCTTCAACAATAGCATCGTTTTGGATCTCTTTTGTGGACTCTTCGTTGGCAATGGGGTTTTCTTCGGGTTGGAGTGAGGGCACCACGACGTCGGCGGCGGGGGCGGGGGCGGGGGCGGGCGGCGGCAGTTCACCGCTTGTTTGGGCGCCCAACTCCGATTGCTCAGGGATGGTCTCAGGCTGGGACTCAGTCAAGGATAAGGATTTATTTTTCTTCTTATTCTTCTTTTTGCTCTTTTTGCTTGACTGTTCTCCAGCATTTTCTTCGGGACTGGCTTCTTCCTCTTTGCTTTCCGCCGGGTGGGCAACTTCAGCTTCACTGGTCGTGTCGACAACGGACTCAAGTGGTACTTCTTGGGTGATTTCTTGCTGTTGCTCGGTAGGGACTTCATCGGGCTGTTTGGCTTCTGCCATCTCGTCCGTTACAGGAGGTTCGTCAGCTTCGGTCGGGACTTCGGGCTGCGAAGTCTCCGCTGGCTCCGTCTCCGGCTCTGCAGCACTCTTGCGCTTGTTCTTCTTCTTCTTTTTGCTGCTCTTGCGGGAGAGCGGAGTCTCAGGCTCCAAGTTAGCTGCTTCACCCTCTGTTTGGAGTTCATTTTCAGCGGGAGTCTCGTTTTGGCCGGGAGAGGCTGATGTTTCTTGAATTGGGGTTTCCAGTGGAGTCTGGAACTCCAATTCAGCTGCCTCGGCCTCTTCCTGGGGTTTGGTTTCAGTGACTGTGTCGTCCTGGTCGGGAGACGCGGATGGTTCTTGAACTGGGGTTTCCAGTGGAGTCTGGAACTCCAATTCAGCTGCCTCGGCCTCTTCCTGGGGTTTTGTTTCAGTGGCTGAGTCGTCCTGGTCGGGAGAGGCGGATGGTTCTTGAACTGGGCTCTCCAGTGGTTGCTCCTCTTGCTCAAGAGACACGGGCTTCTGGTATGTGCCGGGTACTTCTCGTTGCTGCTCTTCGCTCGCGTGCTGGGAGACTTCTTTTGCGTGGTTCTCTGCGTCGGGCGTAGAATGGGCTAGCACGGTGTCTGGATGATCATTGGTCGGCTTATTCTCTTCCTGTGTACTTGTCGTAGGCTCGATTTCTCTCTCCGTGCCCAAAGAGTGTTGTTCGTTGGTTGATTTCGGAAGAGACACGTCCCGAGTAGACTCTCCAACGTCTGCAGTTTCGGGAGCAGACACTGCAGGATCCGCAATAGTTTTCATATGATCAAGTTGAGACAGATCCTTGCTTTCTCCCATATCCTCCGATAGACCAGACCGCTCTCCAGCAGGTAGAGCTTCTTCCTGAGTAGTAGTCTCCAGCGTTTCCCCAGCCGACTGCGCGGGGCTCTCCCCCACCGGAGCATCAACAGCAGACTGCGGAGCATCGCCTTCCATAGCCGGGGCCTCTTCAGCGTTTGCTTCCGTGGTAGCATTCTTGTCCTTCTTCTTATTTTTCTTCTTGTCACGCTTGGCCTTTTTAGATGTTGTAGCATCTGGAACAGAGTCTTCAGGAATGGCGGGTTGGATTGATTGGGTGTCCATGTCGTTGTCGATGCCTGTGGTCTTCACAATATCAGGGGTAGCGGACCCTTGTTCGGGAGACTGCGCTGGCTCCATATCCAACGATCTGCTAGACTCCTCATTCACAGGGTCTGCCAGTTCGATATTGCCCAAAGTAGTAGACTCCTGCTCCGGAAGCTGTGCAGGCTCGGCAGTCAAGTCTTTGCTGGACTCGTCGTTCTCAAGGTCGCCGGTGCTCAAGACATCCGGGGTAGCAGGATCATGCTCGGGAAGCTGTGCTGGCTCAGGCGCAGATGGCTCAGAAACAGTCTCCGATTCTTGAAAGCTGCTGTTGTCCACGCTCTTATTCTTCTTCTTCTTATCCTTCTTCTTCTTTCTCTTGGACGAGATGGACGTGGGTGTTTCAGCAACTGCATCTTCCTGCTGTGGCTGAGGTTGTGTCTGCTCTTGAGCGGTGTCGATGGGAGTTGGCTCGTTTGCAGGGTTGGATGTATCCTGGTGGATATCTATTTCGCGAACCGCTTCTTTGCTTTGAGTATCAGGTGTAGGTAACAAGTCTGCGTGTTCAGCTGCCATGGTTTTGTCATCTGCTGTCATCTCTGATTGCGTAGTCGTTGCAGCCCTCTTCAGATCAGCCATCTCGGGCACATCATCGTGTGGAACCAGAGTCTGTCCGATCTGAGCCGTCTCAGTAGGCTCATCTTGAATCCCCTTATCAGCAGCTAAGACTCCACCTCCTACCCCCGCAGCAGCCGCCATAGCAGCGTCCACCGCTCCCGGAAGACCAGAGTGCTCAGGACTCTCCCTCACCGAACCAACCCTCTTCTGCGTAGGGGTAGTATCCAGATCACTCAAGCCCGAATCCATCGCCTTAGACTCGGGCGTAGTAGGTCTCGAAAGCGGCAACGCAGGGAGATTCTCAATCTCCCATTGATCATCCTTCCCCCCAACAGCTGACCCCACAACAGAGGGAAGGGCCCCCAATGTAGGTGAAGGAGGCAGAGCCGCGAAGCCGGTCGGATCCTGAAGGAGCTCCGACGGGGAGTGGAACTCATATTTTGGCTTGTCGCCCTCTTTTCTCAATGAGGAAGGGCGGGAATGGGGGTGCGATGGGTGGAAGGTTCCTGCGGTGGGTGTTCCCTGCTGGGAGTCGAGGAGCTCGTGGTGCTGGTATTGGTGCGCAGAGGAAAGGTCTAGATCTCTTGGGCGATCGTCGTAGATATGATGGCTGAGGTCTGTTGTTTCCCATCTTTTTTCGTCCGGGAGAGCAGTGAGATCTTCGACGGAGGCGTTTGCTGAGGATGTCTTGCTGGATGGGAGGGAGGGTAGGGGCTCGTTCTCGTCTTGGGGCTCTGGGTTGGTGGTCCCGTGGCGTTCCACGAGCCACAGGGGTCGGATCTCACGGGAGAATACGAACTCGGAGGAGTTGGGCCGACGGGGTCGACTTTGGGTGGGCGAGTCAGGAGGCTGCACTGCCGCGGAGCCCTCTGATGGCGAGCGCTGCATTGCCGGGGATGTTGGCGGCCGGCGGAAATGCAAGGGCACGGCCGTGGGTGACTCGGTCGACCGCACGATGGACGAGCGACGCGAACGCGCGCCGTCGTTCTCGTCCTCGGTCACCTTAGGGGATGACGGTCTACTTTGGGACTCTGGTGCCGAGTCCACGACATCTAGTCCCTGTCCGGTGACACCCGCGGTCTCCGGTGGAACCTCTGCTAGAAAAGACCGCTCCTCATCGGTGTGGTCTCGCGATAATTCCCGATCCTATACGACAGAGAAATAGAGAAAACCCCAATATTTAGTACATATATCAATCAATCATATCATATCATAACTCGGAATCACATGTGGACACATCAACTGGGCAGAACACATAACGGTTTGTACAGGTATTCAAAACACGACAATAGGAAAGGAAAAATAAAAGCAAAGAAAAGTCAGCTAAAACTATACCTTCTCGGATTCCTCCGCCTTGTTGTCCCACTCATATCTCTGGCGACGTCGCTCTTCCCTGCGCTGCCTGCTAGACTTGTAACTTTCGACGTTAATATTCTCCTTGTCTGCAATCATGTCATCCTCGCGGGCCGAGTCATCGTCGTCGAGTCCCTCGTCCCGATTGGAGCTGCGATGCCTGGAGGATCTCTCTTGGCGCCGGTGTCTCGACTCCTCGGGGGTGCGGGATCCAATCTCTGACTTGACTTCACGTCTATCTGTTGAAGAAGACGGTCGCTTGCTCTCTACTGGTTCCGAGACCCTGGAACCGAATATATTGGTGAAGAAATTGCCAGACTTCTCCTCGGGGCTCTTCTCCTTGGTGTCCCGGCGCTTGTCACGGTCGTCGCCGATCTTAGCGGGCGAGGAAGCTACAGAAGCCGAGTCATCTAGGCCGTCACTCTTCCGCTTTGAGTGCTTCTTCCGCCGCTTCTTCTTTCCATCGGCGCTACTGAACTCAACCGAGGGTGATCCAGTATCGTCACCTTCCTCGGTATCCCCGCTTACTCGCCTTTGCAGGTTCGTCGAGACTCGCTCGGAGTATTCACCGGGGGCGGGCGCCGAGACAACCGATCGAGGATCGTCTATAGAGGCATCTCGGGAGTCTACCTGCCGCTCGGGCTCCTCGAACCCACCCGGCATATGGAGAGCGACATCGGTGGGAGATTCGGGTTTGTCGCGAAAGTCCACGTCGCGCTGAACACCAGAAGCGCCGTTGGCAGCCATGTCACGGGCACGGGATGGTCTCTCGCGACCACGGGACTCATCCTCTTGTTCAGTTGCGCGAGAGAAACGTCCATGCGGTGGCGACGAACGCGTATGATATTTCGGATGGTCCGTGACAAGCGATGGATCAAATCCAGCGGCGGCAGCAGTCGCAGCAACCGTAGCCGCGAAAGCGATGTCTTCACCAATACCCTTACCGGAATCTTCGTTGGGCTTTCGCTCCCGTCGGTCCCGATGGCGAACACGGTCGCGGTCAACGGAGTCACGATCGGAGTCACTTGACGGAACTTCATACTCGTGCGTTTCGTGCTCGCCCCAGGACACGCGCGAGAAAGTCACAGGCCGTTCGGGGCTCGAGCTCGCCTCTTCCCGGGCCACTTTTTGCGGCCGGGGAACAGGAGACGCAGCATCTCTAACAGACCCGGTCACGCTGTGCGGGGGTGTCGGGTCGGTATACGTGATGTCGGGCACCTTCCAGGGAACGCGGCTGAGGAACTCTGGGTCAGGCTCAATGGGACTCTCTGGTCTCTCTTTGGCGGGAACCACCTCGATGATCGTCGGCATCACCTGAGATTCACGTGAAGAATCATTAGAACGGCGCCGCACCTCTTTAGGAGCAAAGAACTCGGCGTAATCCTCATACTTCGGCTTCGTGGGGGAGACATCTCGGCGGGGAGGCTTCTGAGCAGGCTCTGGCTCAGGAGACCAAGGGGAAGAAGAAGGATAGTAACGGGTATCGCGTGCACTGCTTGGCGCGGCGGAGAAGGCAGCAGTTACTGATCCCGGCTCCGAGCCACGGCGTCGCTCAGCACGGCGTTTCTCGCGACGCTCATCGTGGCGTCGCTGACTGCTAGCCTCGGAAGAACCATCATTGGAACCTCTGCCCGATAACGCTGAGGCAGCGGCAGCGGCACCAATAGTGCCGACGGCAGCAGCCCCCATCCAGGATGAGGAGTTGTCTCCACGCGAGTCCCGCTGGCGTTGCTTGTCACCTTCATCCCAAGCGCGTCGATTATGCTCGCCTTCCCCACGCCGCCACCTCGACCAGCGGTCATCCTCTGGCCGTATCGGTTCTTGTTCATTGTCAATGAGCTGGACTCCACCATCCAAGTCGGCACTGCGATTCTGTCTCTCAAGGCGGTCGGCGCGTCGTTCTTGCTCCTCGGTGAGGTTGAAGGAGACGGAGGCTTGGTCTTTCGCCGTCGCGCGGCGTCTCAGGCTGGAAATGGTCGAACCCTCCAGTGGCTCCGTGGGGGATGCGGGGAAGGTGTTACTTCGCCGATGCAGACGGTCAATGTGCCCCGGCGCCTCGCCAGGGTCCACATATGCTGAGACAGGCTGGTCCCGGTCACGGGGCCGAGACGTGTAATTGTTCCGAGACGTGTAATCCTCAAAGGGAGTCCTGAACGGCAGAGGCCCGGTGGTCGGTGCAGTGTAGGCATGGATCGACTCGCCTTGAGAAGTGTAAACGGCTTGGGAGACAGGCGTCACAGGTTGCGGTTGCTGAAGCGGAATGGGACCAGGGCGCACAAAGGCCGGCTGAGAAGACGGTATCCGAACCGTGTCGTAGCGCGAGGGGTCGCTGGTCGGCACGGGAGCGACATGCTGCAGGCTTCCGGTACCGTCGTGGCTGGTGTGACGGCGAGAGGCAGCAGCGGCCAACGCGGCCGTCCCCAGGGCACCGACACCGAGAGCAGCCGCGCCGGTCGGGAAGCGATCATCGGAGGAACCCGACCCGGTCCTCTTCTTCTTATTCTTCTTCTCCTTCTTGCCCTTCTTATCCTTCTTGCTTCCCCATCTCCAGCCCCATTTCGACGTGCCCGAGTCGGAAGAGTCATCGGAACTGAACAGCGCACTGTGGCCGCCGAAGGCAAGAGCAGAGCTGACACTAGACGACGACTGGTCACTGGAGTCCAGATCCTCCCAGCCATCGTCGTTGGTAGCAGAGGAGGCATAATCGGACCGGCTCGTGCGGGACTCCTTGCCAAGCAGAACCTCCCCGGGCCGCCGGCTGCGCCCGTGGGGCGAGGCCGCCAACGCCGTGGCCGCCGCGCCGAGACCCAGCAGTTTGGCGTCGACGTCGTCTCGGTCCTGCTTCTTGCCGCGCTTCTTCCGCGCCCCTGGGGGTTTCTTCGCGTAGCCACTCCCGAACGCGAGGTCGGCATCCGTGGACGAGGATGAGGAGTTATTGAACGAGAATAGGCTTCGCGGCTTCTTCGCGGTGGGTCGTTTTCTGCGTTCCGAAGACGCGGTGAAGAACGAGCCGAAAGCCCCTCCGGTCGATTTCCGAGACGGATGGCCAATGTCGACGAAGGAAGAATCCGAGGACGACGATTTCCGGCCCTTGGACTTGCGGGGCGACCGACTGCGGCTCCGGCTGTCGCTGCGCTGACGGGATCTGTGGACGGCGCTGGCCGCCGTTCCGACAGCGGCTCCGAGAGCCGCGTCGCGGAGGGCGGAATGGCGGTGCGGACGGGATGAGGAACGCGACCGGGAGCGGGAGCGCCGAAGGGGTTCCCCGTACCTCCCCTTGGCCACGTCCGAGTACGAGCTGCGGTCCAATCGATCGTGAGACCGACGGCGGTACACGCCCCGGGAGGTATCGCTTTTGCGCCCAGAAACCGACCCCCCTTCGCTGCCATGCGAGCTCGGCACGCGGCCCGGACGGAGACTGTACGTGTCCTCGAAATCCTTGGTGTTGAAGAGGGACTTGATCCCGTATCCGCCCAGCAACCCCGGGATCCACGAGTTTCGGGATGATCGTTTGCGATGTCGGCCTTCATCTTCCGACGAGGTGTAACGACTCAGCTTCTCGACGCGCGAGTGGCTACTGCGGCGGTCGCCCGAGTGTCGGCGAGGCTCGTAGTGGTGCTTGCGCGGTGCATCGCGCGAGGTCGATCCCGGTGCAAAGCAGTACTTGCAGACCCCGATGGACTCCGTGTAGTCCTCGAACATGCCCACGCCGTCAGGGTCCCGCCAAAAGTCGACAAACCGATCCAGCGGACCGCGTCGGCGCTGGTGGAACGCCATGCCCCCCGACTGGAAGGACGGCCCGTGGTACAACGCCGCGTGGTGGGGATGCGACGGGTGCGCGGCGTATCCGACCGTGCCCGCGCCCGCGCCATACAAGGCCGGGTTTACATTGGGCGGGTACATGGACGGACCCGCGAACGCATCGTGGGGGGCATTTCCCGCCTGCTGCACGGGGTATGGCGGGGAGCCATGCGGGCTGGAGGAATGGTGATGGTGATGGCCCATCATGTACCCGGCCCCCGCGGCGGCGGCTGCCATGCCGACCGCGGCACCCGTCCCACCGTGCGAATGGGACGGCTTTGTGGCATGGTTGGATGGCATCGGCGGGACAAACGAGGTTGCCGACGAGGGCGGGGGGAACATGGGCGAATCCATGTCCCCGACGCCGTAGGTCGCGGCTCCCGTCGACTGGACAGACGGATGGGAAGAATGCAGGGTGTCGGGAGGGGACGCCAACGGCGGTTGACCCGTGGGTTGCACTACCGGCGCGGCCCCATCCGCAGCATTGCCGTAGTACGCGGCGGCCGCCCCGACTCCACCCACGCTGCTGGGCTCCGGCGGCGGGTTGACGGCGGGCGACGCCGGCATCAGATGTGCCTGGTTGTTGGGGAGCACCTCGGGGGCCGCCGGACGGATCCCCGGCTGGTCGGCGACGGACTGTCCTTGGTCGCCGTAGTAATCGGCCGCCTCACCGGCCGGGTTGGGCGGTCGATAGGGCTCTGTGTGGAGGGCCGGGAACTGTCCGGGGAACTGCTGCGGCACATGGGGGTCGAATGCGACGGGACCGCTTGGCGACGCACCTCCTGCGCCTGTGGTCGGGATGGCGGTGGATATGGGAGGGAGGGTGACATCGGGTTGAGCGCGCTGTCGCTCCCGACGAGCGCTCGCACGGTCATCGGCCTCCCAGCGATCGTCCATCCTGGCTCGCCTGGTCCGTTCGCCGTCCGGACTAGGCGATCGCACCCGATCGCGCCTGCGGGCGCTCTGTTGTCTATCCCGGTCGCCCGAGTCTCGATCGCGATACCTGTCCACATCGTCCAAATCTCGATCGTGAGGTCTGTCCTCGTCGTCGTTGTCCCATCGTCCTGGGCGACGTTCGATGATCACGCGGTCGGGTTCATCCAAGACACCTGGGTCGGCGGTCGCATAGCTGGAAGCGACTGATTCGCCCGCGGCGCTGGCGGCATAGCGCTTGTTCCGGCCGCCGGTAGTCGGGTAGGTCGACAGGTCGCCCAAGCCGCGATCACGGTCGTCACCCCGTGAGGACTTGCGGCTGGTTGTCGACGAAGCCTTGGAGTCGGTTCGGCGGCGGCCACTTCTGGAGGAAGTGCTGCGGACATCGGAGGATGAGCGACTCCCGCCCATGAGGGCCTTAAGCATGGTGGGCAGAGAGAGCGATCACCATGTGGGGTGGGATCAAAAGCGGATGGGATTTGATGATAATACGGGCTGATGGGTTGAAGCCCGAGGTTGTTGAGTAGGTGGGACTCAAAATAAAGAATAAGGGAAAGAGATGACAGAAAGGGATGAAATGAAGGAGGATGGAATGGAAGAGGTCCAGAAGGTAGGGAGTAGTCAGACGCAAGAGAAAGTACCAAGTAGAGGGGAGAAAAAGAGAGGAGGCTGGCAGAAGTATAGACCAGTGGGAGCTTGTGTTGTTTTGCCGCCTGGATTAGTCGAGAGTAAACAAGCTGGCCAGCTGAACCGTGGGAATCTTAGATTCTTCTGAGTTAGCGTTGGCTGGGGGAGGGAAAGAGGGTCACTGTTTGGAACTGGTTGCTCCAGACAATCAGGCTATCAGCCGCTCAGACGATCGGGTGGGTTTAGCGTCATCTCAGATCGAGGCCAGTCAGCACGTTCCACTCGGGGATTTCGGGAGAGAAGAGCTTGGACAAAGCGAGAAACACCAACAGGCTAGATGACAGATATGCATGCAACTCGACAGTTGAGTCTCCTCTTTGAAACACGATGATGAAAGTCCGAAGTGAGAGACAGAAAGTGAGAGAGAGAGAGAGAGAGAGAAATCGCGGTGAAGAAAGCGAAAGAGAAAGACTGGCTGGAGAGGATGAAAAGTGGGGCGAGGCACGTGCATGGCGGCCAGAGCATGCGCTGCATCACAACAAAACAGCATTGTTATGACTTGCAGGGTTGATCTGGGGGGAATCAATATAGCAAAATCCCGTTTCGGATGGAACGATCTACTGTATTGGATATAGATCGATCGATCCATGATTTCTCGTTCCATGGGTGTGGTATGTGGAGTGGAGCCATGGTTACTGCCTCAGTCATCTATCAACCTGCCATGTGCCTTAGGCCATACAATCTCTAACAGCACTTAGTATAGGGTTTCAACCGGACTGAGATTCCTGACAATATCTACAAAATAGAGATCCTATACTATCAAATTAACCAACAACAATTACATAGAATAGAAATATCAATCCTCCGCCCTCATCAACCTCTCCAACTGCACCCTCAACGCATGCTGAAACCACCCGGGAAAACTCCTCAAATTCCTCGCCACCCACCCACTCGACCCCGGCACAACAACATGCCCACTCCGTCCCTCAAGCACCTTCTCCACAAGCGCCTCAGCAACCGTCTCCGGATGCAGCAGCGGATTAAACCACGTATCCTCCGGCGTCAACCGACTAATCAGCGCCGTCTGCGCAAAGCCCTGCGTCACCAGCACGGTGCGCACCCGCGGCGCACTATACCTCGTTACCAGCTCGGCCGCGAGCCCCTCGTGGAAGGATATCGCGGCGGACTTGGTGGCCGAGTAATCGACCATGTTGGGGGTGGTCGTGTAGCCTGCTTGGGACGCGACGGTGACGACCATGCCGTGGTTGGAGCGGACCATGTGCGGGAGGAATTCCCGGGTGAGCCAGTAGTGCGATAGCGTATTGACCTCGAACTGGAGGCGGGTTTGGGACTCGCTCGAGCCGAGGATGGTGCGGCCGCTGCAGATGCCTGCATTGTTGATCAAGATGGTCGGCTCGCCCATTGTTGTGCGGATTGTGGCTGCGACGTCTGCGATGGCCGCCGGGGCCGTAATATCGCACTCGTAGAAGCGCACCGTTGAGGGCAGGAGAGCCGCATCCTGCGGCGGCTGAATATCCAAGATAGCAACCTTGATACCCCTATCGCCTAGCAGACGCGCAATCTGTCTTCCAATACCGTTGCTACCGCCAGTGAGCACGACGACTTCACGGTTCCAGTCATAGCGGTCCGAGACGCCGTTGTTGAGGGCGCGGCGGTTGAGGGCTGCGTTGGCGCGGCGGATGACGGCCAGCGAGGCGAGGGCGTGCGCGGCTTGGAGGAGGCGGGGATGTTGTTGGGCGAGGGTTTTCCCCTGCTCGGTGTAGTGCGCTAGGAGGACGAGCGGGACGACTTTCCAGGGGCTGAGGATAGTCCGTTGGAGGAGTTTGCCGAATACATCGGCTGTGAAGCCTGATGATAAAATTAGTTGAGATGGATCGATGGGTGGGTGTGATATGGTTGGGTAGGTAGGTAGGGACTAACCTTCATGAGAGAACCAGTTTGACTTGGACGGCATGGTGGGCAGCTGGAGTATTATCTTCTTCTTTTCTGTTTTCCCTTCTTCTTTCCCCTGTCAGTGTGGTTGAGAGAAACGGAATGGAAGAAAACGTCTGAATGGACAACGATGGTACATACCTATAAATGCAATCGGTAGTTTAAGGTTAAAAACACCCCCTACTCCACCCCAGATTGCGGGGAACGGCGAGGATGCGGCATCATGGGAAACCGAGGTACAGAGGCGTTCATCTTTACCTGACTGGCTTCTTGGCAGTCTCCTAAGTAGGTACCAGGTGTATTCACCTAGGAAAATCCTACGGACGAGTCACCTCTTAACTGATAAATCCCCCGGTTTTATAGATATCCAGGTATTCATTGAGCTGTACGGCCAACCAGTAACTGCTTCCTCACAAGTATTTCTGGAGATCCTAGGTTCATCCCAATTCCCCTCAATATACTCGGTGCGGTGGACTTCCGCCTCGATACGCTGTAAATGCAATGAACACATGTTCCTCCCATACCCAAACAACAATCCCAAAACGTCCAAAAAAAGAAAAGTATCCGGTCGACCGGAACGATGGAATACATACAAAATAACAGACAATAGACAACGCCAACAAAACTCCCCGCGAACATAGTCGGGGTAACAGACAAGCGATGAGAAGAAGAAAAAAAACATCAGATAGCCACCATCCCTTTCCACATGCAGAAAATGATTGATTGGACTCCACAAACGTCGGGAAATTCAGAACCGGGAATCTTGGGCAAAACCGAACAAACCACCATGCAACACTGGTTTTTGCAATATGCTGTATAATCAAGAGAACCTCACGCCAGGGTGTGCACAAAGCAATGGCCGGGAGCATCCATATAAGGCCAAAGTATTAACGGAAATGGTGAACTCGAAAGGGACACTGTCGAGCATCAATACATCAACCACGGTTCATTGCCGACTGGCGCTCAACGTCCATAGTCGATGTTGGCAAATACACCTTCGGCAAACGGAGGACACCCGCGGATTCATGCAAGAAATGATCGGCTGAAGGAAAAACTCAAAAGTAATAATAAAGAATCAAAGGCAGCAAAGTTTCATCCTTCCTAGGAAAAGCTCGCCGACGGCGGCTCCCGGAAGATTTTCTCATATATCTCGGTCAGGATGCGTGCATCAGCCCGCAGAGTAGGCGAAATGTTCTGGCTCTGCAGGAGGAAATTAATCGTCCGTCTCAGGAGACGGGCGAGAGTCTTGCGATCCACCAACTCGGAAAGGTGCGACATAAAGGTCGCTGACAGGACTAGCATGTTACCGAATTGACTATGGAAGCTGGTCAGCAATAAGAAGGCATGGGTGGTAAAACAACAACTTACGCATGGGCAGTGCCAAAGATGTTGGTCACGACAGGGCGGCCATTGATCCCATCGAAGGCTTCCGTGCTCGCAATCGCAGAGTCGACGCAAACGCGGCAGGCCGTTCGTAGCTTTTTCGGGAGCTCTCGGTAGGATTGCGCAGTCACAACCCCCGGGTTTGACGATGGAATGCTTCGGCTCGTTGGGCCCATGTCACTTGACAGACGCGTCATGTTGGTGGCGCTGTGTGTCAATGATGGAGAGACCTGTTGCGACTTGGTACCGGACGGAGCAGATCCGGTGGGGGAATCCAACGAGACCGCGCGACCATCCGGCGGTCCAATGTAGTGCAGGGCGTGGTAAAGGAGCGGTCGGTGAATGATGTACCGGGCGCCATAGTATTTCGCCCGCATCCGAGCGACATTGATATCATCCGACGGCGGATCAGTGTCTCTCCATCGCATGGGTTCCGGCAGGCTGTTACGCCACATCTCCAAGTTCATGCTCAGAATTTCTTGGACGGTCGTTGTCCAGCGGCTCTGGCCGTGTTCTAACCGAGACGTTAGCCTCGCCACCAAAGCATCGCGAACCCCGCGAACATCTTACTTTCAACTTTATATAAATCCGTGTGGACACGATTCAAGACCTTTCGCAGGTGGATCTGGGCGGAATAGAAGAACATCATGATCGTGCTCGGGGCGGAGATTTCATTGGGAAGCGTGAGGGTGAATCGGCCTTTGGGCAACGAAATGCGAGCTTCGGAGCGCGAGATTCCGCTAGCTGGGAGATCAAGTTCGGCCAAGATGTCACTAACGCATTGCTAGTTAGCGACCTCCATGATTCTTTCCCCATGCTTTCCTGTGACTCTTTTGCAACTAGATCGGCATCTTACCTTTCAAGCTGGAGGCATGTCCAGTAGGCGAAATCGTATAGATCCTTGACCGGGCCATCAGTCATTTTTTCATAGCGTCTCCTGGATTAGCGGTCAGCAAGCTTTCCTGGATACGGGCAATCAACCCAGAAGACACAAGATAGTATAGTAACATACGATCGGACCAGCACTTGGCAAGCTCGAGCAGCCTGGTAGATCCACCCGTGGCTTTGGAAAGGATGCGCTAATTGCCCAGCATATAGACCAGCCAGCAAGGCGGCTTGGACGTGTCGCAGCCCGTTGGATCCTTGGAGACTCCCGAGGATTTGAGTGGCGTAAGCGTAATAAGCTAATCCGGGGATCTTGTCCAGGTTCCGCAATCCCTGGTTGTCCGGACGCCTGGTGGCGTTATTGCGACCGTCCGCCATTGAAGACGCGTACATGTAGGGCTGCGAGACCGAATCGGAGCGGTCAGGCGACAGAATGCTGCGGGTCGTGGGCCCAGGGATATACTGTTTGAGATAGTTTGGAGGCTCGTCCGTCACGGGCCCAGGGATGGGACCATGGCGAACCTGGCAGATGCTGCCCAGGGCAAATACCAGCAGGATAATAGCGTTGTCGACCGACTTCTCGATGGGCCGATCGCCGGCCTGCTGCGCCATCATGCCGGCAGGAGAGGGCACATCGCACCCTGCCCCTTGTAACGTTTCGCAGGAGCGCTTGCGTTTGGCCCCCCGTGGCGTGCCCACGAAGCTGCCGCTGTTCATCATGGGTGCCGAGGGACTCTGGTGGCGGTGGCAGTAGATCTTGACAAATTGCCGGACCTTGGCTTCCAGATCGTTTTGGTCGAGGAAGGGGTGCAATTTATGGATATCGTCCATGTAGGACTGGTGATAACTGAGAATGGTTTCCGCTTGCGCCGTTAGCACGCCAAAGTCGTCCACGCCATTGTCGGCCAGTCGCTCCTGGTGTCCGTTGGCGTTGGCGTTGGCGTTGGCCATGTTGCTCCAATTGCCACTCGAGGAACCATTTTTGGGGTATTCCGCCTCCCACTCAGGATACTTATCCACCGATGTGGTCGTCACGGTTACGTCCTCGCTCGTGTCGTCGCCTTCCCCACGCCCATAAACGCGGATCAAGCCGCGTTCCTCTTCCAATTTCATCACATAGTCTTCGTCGTACTGGTAAGGAAGAAGCAACGCCTTGATAGATGGCCAGAGAAGCAACTTGTGGGCCGCGGTCGTGTGCTCCACCGGAATGGAGAGCTCGCCTTCATGGCCGACCTCCAGGCCTTCGTCTGTGACGGGGCCCGGCTGATCGGGGTCTTGAGTCACCATCACCGTGCTTTCCTCGTTTTCGGCCTTCCGCATGACCTCCGGGAGTTCTTGCTTCAGGAGTCGTGCGACGGTCGGTTTCGGTGCCTCGTGGATGACCTTGGCTTTCTCGGGGCCGCTAAAGTATTTCTCCATGGTGTTCCCAAACACCACCTGTAGGCCGTGGAATTGAGTGATCCGGTCGTCCATCCGATCCTCCATTTGCTGTATCCGATCCAAGATGAGCTGCATGGCCTTTTCTTGCCTGCGAACCGATGTCAGTGTGCGTCACTCTTCGTGCCAGGGGTCGATCACGAACTTGTGCGGAGGAACTTCTTTGTAGACACAGACCAAACCGTTCTCCTTGCAGTGACTACAGGAGGGACGTCCTTCATCACATTTTGCCTTTCTCGCTCGACATTGATCGCAAGCCTTACCACCGCGGGAAGTTAGACCATGTTCTCCCCTTGATAGTCCACATCACACCGTCAGGGCTAGCAACTTACCTGTTGGGCTCGGGCCGCCTTGCGTTGACGGATCCCAAACGCCTGGTTCTGATAATATCCGGAGTCGTACGACGTGGCGGGGTGGGAGATTTGGGGCACCGGAGTCGAATATTGCGTCGGAGGGAGTGAATGCGCCGGGAGACCGGGGTCCCCGTTACCATGCGGTTCCTGGGGAGTAAATGGGATGCGTTGGCGGAAATCGGGGGGTGCGGAGTGAGGGGGCGCCTCATGGGATGTTCCGTTCATGGCGCGAAAGGTTGGATGCGGGGGAGCTGCTTCTGTCGGCGTGTGGGAAGGGCCTGGCAAGCTGGTCTGTCGAGCATACCGAGCGTCGGGGGGTTGTGGTAATTCTCGGTTGGTCATGACTGGGTATCCGGGGGGTGGTATGGGTGGTTGAGGAGCGCTGGATAGGCGACGTTGCTCGGCGGATGGACCATCGAAGGGGTAGGAGGGCCGCCACGCGGGCTCGTACACCCCCGAGGCCAGGCCATGCGTCACCTCGGGCGGCTGGATTCGATGCATTGAAGGCGGCGGGCCTGAGAAAGAGGGAAGGGGTTTCGGCTTGTCGTCCGGCGAAATAATTTCCATAATCCTCGGGCCACTGCTGCTGTCGGGAACCCCCCGCTGTCGCAAGTTCGCTGGGAACGGGTGATTCAGTGTACTAGACATACAGTCACGAGAACATGGCGGTTTTGCTGCCTTCGTAGAAAGTGACCAGTGGCGTCGCTTCGTTCCACCGCGCGACGAATGACCCTCGAAAAAGCGATCGGCTCCCTAACGGCGTGCGCGGAGGGAAACGGTCAGTTGGCGGATCTCGGGTTTTTCTTTGTTACGTTTTCTTCCTGCCGCCTGCCCCGGTGATTGTCTATTGATTTCGCTCGGTTTTGTTCTTTGAACTTCCCCGCCACTATTCGCACCGGTCCGGAGGTGTCTAGTACGCGATTCCAAGTCACAAGTCACGGTAGCTGGTGGCACGAAGAGGGGTGGGATTGGTCAGCGGATAGGCCAGATAAAGGCGGCGAGGTGATAGCTTTCCAATAGTTAGCTTAGATTGGGAAGGTAGTGGACGCGAGGGTAAGCGACAGTCGAGCGATCGGCTCGAAGCTCTAAGAACAGATGGAGGTAGCCAGAAGCATTGAAACAGCAACGGGCAGATGGAAAGGGTGGGATGATGGTAAATCTGCGGAGCACAGGAAGAATCTCATGGGACAGTTGCCGGCGCAAGGAAAAACGAGCGGGCAGAGAAGTGGAAGGAGTCAAGCTAATCATGTAAAAAAGAGGGACAGAAAAAAGAAAACCCCGAAGAAAACCAAAAATCGAAAATCGAAAAACAAAAAACGAAAAACAAAAAATCAATAATAAAAAATAAAAAAATAAAAGATAAAAAAACCCAGGGCGGTGGTAAGAAGGATAATCGGGCATCCAAGACTAACTATGAGAAATGGCACTAAGGACTGGAGTATAATTATACGGCGGGCAAGAGGGGGAAAGGATGGGACAAAAGTGATCCACGGCGACGCGCAGAAGACCAGCAGAGTGGGCACTGGGGAGCTGCTAAGTACCTAGTCGGCGTCCCTAGTAGTAGCCGACCAGGTAATTAAAAATAAGTCGGTGCCTCTGGCAGATCCAAGCCAGGATCAGACTCTCTTGGTGTCTTCTTGTTCTCAGTCTCTCTGTCTCTGTCCGTCACTGTCGACGGCCGGTACCTAAGTACCAAGTACAAGTACCAGTACTAAGTACTAGGTACTAGGGACTCAACCGGTGGCCGTTACAGGTCCGTGGGCAGAGGTAGTGAGTGGACTTGTCTTGAACAAGGTAAGATGAGCAAAGACATGGGTCAAAGGGAAAAAAGGAATAAATGAAAATGAAAATGAAAATGAAAAACAGACTCCAACACCTGCCAGGCATTGATAGATGACCGAAAAACAAAACCGAAAATATAAATCGAAGATAAAAAGAAAAAACAAGGCAAAATAG